TAGTATAAACTTTAAAATTTTATTAAAAGATAAATTAAATGTTATTAATAATATTCATATTATTGATAGTTTTATATTTTTACAAAAGTTATGTACTAACAATATAAAATATGATTTTCCAGATTATTCAAACTAAATGTTATTCAAATAATAGAAATTTAACATTAAAAAATAAAATATTATTTCAGTATTGCAATAACTAAATATCTTAAATAATAAAATACTAAAAATATCTAAATAATGATATAGAAAAATAGTTAATTATTTCAATAACTAAATATCTTAAATTCAAATAATGAGTATTTTTAAATATTCTATATATTATTTAAATATTTAAATTATGCAATAAAATAACAAATCTTAAAATAAAAAAAAACATAAAATAATATTCAAATTAATCATAATTTATTTTTTTACAAAATTGATAATGAAATTATGTAATAAAAGAATAAATTATAATGTTATAAATTATAAAATTCAATAAATAATTAAATTTATAAAATTTAAATAAGAATATTATTTTAATAACTAAATAATATTTTAAATAACCAATTTCACTTATATCAATTAATAATTCAAGAAAAATAACTTTCAAAAAAATAAAATCTATATTTATTGTATATTTAGTATAACAAAATTAATATTTATTGTATATTCATTAATTATTTATAGTTTTTTTTATAAATATATATTTGTTTTCTTATTTAACAGAAAATTTTTAATAATTACTAGAGGGGGGCTCATGCATGGGATTTGTTAAATTAAAGATAAATAATAGAAACATGTAAGAGTATACAATTGTTTTATATAATAATTAATTATCATTTATATTCTATATGCTATTTTTAATAATTTTTTACAATAATTAATTTTAGATAGGCTCTGTTGCTGCTTGGATTAGTCGAGGGCAACAAGGTAAATTCGCTCCCAAGTTCTAAAGGCAAGCCAAAGGTTTTGAGGACTCAGAGGAGGGTAAGTCGAAGTCGAGGACTGTAGGCCTAGACGAGATGCTCCCTTCTGAGTATGGTAGAGGCCGAGGACTGCAGGTCGTCGGTTAGGTGACGAGGTCCCTAGGGATCTGAAGTACTACGAAACAACAGATGTTAGAGGCCTCGGGTGGATACCCGAGGTGGAAACTCTAACGCTCAAGTTAGTACGAGGTGTGAGGTAGAGGAGGGTGTAGACGAGGTCTTAGTGGTAGTCCTCGGCTCTAGGAGTAAATGCTAGAGAAACAAGTTAGGTGCTAGAAATTAATTCTAGGTTTAAGATCCCTTACCAAGGGAGAGTTACTTCATATTTATACTTGAGCGAGCTGGAGGCAGGTGGAGATGAACGCACCAGATGGGAGCCATAAGAAGTCAGGCGGTAGGTCATTGCGAATACACTTAACTGCTCTGCAGTTGGCTCCATACGAAGACAACAGGGCTCCTTTCTGCTATGATTGGCATTGTCAAGCGTTAGTGGACCGAGCCTCTCAGCCCGTAATGGGCTGGGCTTGGCTAGCCCATATTAGGCTCATTTATAAAACTTAGATATGACAATTTTCCCCATTTCCTCAATCCTCATTGGGATCCACTCTGAATGGGGCAGGGATGGGAATGATTTCCCCCCGCGGGGACTAAGATGGGGAAATTTTCATCCCCATTGGTAGGGATGGCACGGCGACAGGGAGAGCACTCCCTGCCCTACAGGGACCCCGATCTCCATCCCATGGGATTCCCGCTAATATATGAATATATACACATACATTTATATATGTATATATGTATGCATACGTCTATATGTTAATATTTTTAAAAATATGGTTGAATATGTTTGAATCATTTCTAATAGGATTGTAAATTTTAATATTTTATTTTTATTTTAAATAAAATAAAAAACAAAAATATAATGGTTGATGTTATAAAGAATCACGGGGAATGGAGATCCTTATGGAGACGGGGATGGGGAGAGGCTCCTCGCCCCCACCCCGCCTCGTTGTCATTCCTAATCAAACTAATAAAACTGACCAACCCGATTTCTTAAGATTTGACAAATCATATCTTTAAGGTTGCATTCAAAAAAATTTACACAATTATTTTATTACAAGTAGGATATTTATTAGCTTTGTTTGTGTTTCTATTCATCTAGTTTTCTAACCAATATTATCTTTCTATTTTACGTTTTCTTCTTGGATATACTTGACTCTTGAATTCTTGATTATTACTTTCACAATATCACCGATCTCCTATTTATGTTTTTTTATTTTATTACAAGTAGGATATTTATTAGCTATGTTTTTTATTTGATTATTTTGTTTTTTTATTTTTTTACTTTCACAATATCATTTTTCTCTTACTTGTGTTATGTTTGTTAATTTGAATTATTTCTTGGGTTTCTAGCAAATAAGGGCAACCTTTTGCCCTGAATATCAATAAAAAAGTAATGCTTTTATAAAATAACCAAAATAGGATTTTTTTTTTGGAAAAAATATCAAGAAAGGGAAGTGACACTGTTCCTCGTCTTCCTCCTCTGCCTCTGTATTCATGTGAATACACTGGATTCGAAAACGACAGTGGGGCCTAGAGGAAGATGAGGGCGGATAAGAGAATGAAGAGAAAGACAATGTTTCTGTGCACTAACATGGGCTGATAAGAAGAGGAACAATAACAATGCACCCTCTCAAGATCTTGCCTATGAATTCTCAAATTTTCCATGGTCATCTACCATAAAAGAAGAGTTTCCCAATAGCAACCAGATCATGGAGTATCCTGAATTGTATGCTCGGGAATTCGTCCTTCTTCACCATATCAAGTTCAATTCCTAAATCATAGGCATCGCCTACGAGGGACTGACCCGGTGATTGAACCAATTAGGGATCCGGTTACCAGTTTGAACGATCTGACCATTTGACCCGAACGATCGACCCAATCTAACAAAAATTAAAAAAATTAAAAAATTGAAAAAGGGTCAAAACTGTTTGAACGGTTCGAACGGTAACTGGCCGGTTCAGCGGTTTGCTTACCAAAATTAACAGTTTTGGAGAAAAAAGGAACCAATCAGGTGACTAGGAACTGGTTTTTCAGGTCCAACCATCCGGTCCGGACCGGTTTTGAAAACCATGATGAGATTCTCTCATGGAGGAAGACAAGAAACAGTCTCCATTGACATGGGCAAATCCATTAATTGTTCCTTTCATTCCTCTTCCTTCTCTTATGTGCCCATGTTGGTGAACAAAATGGAGGAAGACAAGGAATTTCCTCTTATTCGTCTATGTTAGTCTACTGTTCCTCATCTTATCCACCCATGTTAGTGTGCAAAACCCTTGTCTTCCTCTTCCTTCTCTTATTCACCTTCATCTTCCTCCAAGCCTCACCATCGAATCTAGTGCATTTGCATGAATACAGAGGCAGAGGAGGAAGACGAGGAATAGTGTCACTGCCCTTTCTTGATATTTTTTCGAAAAAGCTATCATATTTTGATTATTTTTTATTAATATTCAAGGCAAAACATTGCCATCATCAGCTAGAGACCCTTATTTATTCTTAGATTTTTTTTTTCAATGCCCAAAAATTATAAAATAGCCTTCGAATATTGATAAAGTAGAGGCCAATTTAACCGAGTGTGTGTGGGGTGCCTAATATCTTCCCACATCGTACCTTGGTTCCCGAATCTTAAGAATCTCATTTCCATTGAGTTATGATTCACCAAGAAAATAAAATGCTTTTCTTAAATTTTCCTAGTTTTTTTAAATTCCCAATTCCCAAAAATTTAGATTGCGACTCCACTCCATCCATCTAATCCATCCCGGCCCCATCCCCCACATAGGACATAGAGGATTTCTTTGATGCTGCCATCTAGACCATTTTGTTTCCTTAGTAGGATGGTGAAGTACTGTTCAACAATGATGATTGGACTAAAGATTCAAGCAACGTGGTAGGTTCTCTTCCTAAGCTAATAGAGTGATGGGATGTGTAAATTGCCACCTTTGTGCTATTCTTTCATTGCCATGTGTTTTCATGGTTAAGGTTGTCAATGGACCGGTTTTAGATTGAACCTCATGTAGCTGGTCTGTCTGTAATAAATTTATATTGGATTGGAATGAATTAAGCTATTATGTGGTCCATTGATATAAAATAAGAATATAGGCGTTAATGAATGGGGTTTGCATTGAATTGAACCAGTTCAAAATAGTCCAAAATATTTATTGGATTGGATTCCACCTGGTCCATTTATAACGGATTCACATTGGACTGAATCGGATTGGACCAAATCCAGTCCAATTGACACCCCTACATGATGCTTATTCAATTATAGCTGTGCCTAGTAATAACTGAAGGAAGCGCAGAACCGATAATGATAATGATCTGGGTAATTATATTGTTTATTAGTTTTTCATATTATATTGAATTCTCCTCTAACATTAATCTGTGAATGATTTTCTATAACTTCAAATTTCATTTGCTATAAGTTTTTGAATCGTTGATACGTACCTGAGTTACTACAAGGGTCTAATTGTGGGGTTTCTTCAATTCTTGAAATGTAAAATCGCCCATAAACAACTAAGCCTTACTCGTTTTACAGTTTATTTCCTCAGCTCTTGATATATATGAAATGAGAATTAAATGGGTGCCTTATATATTTGAATTCATATATATATATATATATATATATATGGAAACTACCATGCATGCATGAATCATTTTATTTTGATTTGAATTAATGAATTTCAATTTAAACATAGACTGATAGACATACCAGCCCCTTGTTAAACGATGGTGGAAGCACCAGATAATCTGCCATTTTATCTCCATCACTGCCCTGTCAATATGAGTCGTACACGTCCATCAATATTTTATTTTTCACCGAATACATGCATAAACCTCATTGTATCATTGTGAGTCACCCATCCTTGTTTTATGTTTTACCTAACATAAACCTCACATCTATATTATATATATAGGATATGAAGAAATTAATAAATTGAAGACCACATGCATGCATATCATCAAATGATCAAAATGCCAATCACTGTGTTGTGCCTCCTTGTTCTTGTATTGGCTTCTTCTTCTTCTTCTTCTTGTCATTCCCAAGCATGGAAGACTCGCGTTTTTGTTAAACATCATCACAAAGCAGTGCCCGATGAGTTCAAAGAAGAGATAATGATAGAAAGCGGTAAGGATTATTTTATAAAGATCGATGTGGGTAGTCCATATCAATCTATAGAAGTTCTAATTGATACTGGGAGTCATATTACATGGTTTTTTACGCCTTACTCCACTCCTAACATGTCGAGTTCGATATATTTTACACCAATGCATCCATACAAGTCGAAAACCATTCACTATGTCTTAAAGAATGAGGAAGAATGCCAGATGGCAAGTAGAAGAGAACGGTATGGTGATGCTGATGATGATAATTGCTGGATTATGTGTAAATATCTTGACAAAAGTGAGGTGACAGGTACGCTCACGATAGATTCATTACAGATTGGAAGTGGAAGTGAGGTTTCTTCTTTTAAGGCACAACATTTTTTGTTTAGTTTAATTGTTAAATCTACCGGTCTGATGGATATAAACTTGTTTGGCTTTTCAACTCCATACGGCCCAAAATTGGGCTTTCTATCACAAATAAATGCGTTTGCATTTTCTTATTGTCTTCCAAGACAAGACGGAGCGGGCACACTTGCAATCAATCATGATGCTATTCTTCAAGGGCCAAGTACTCCCTTGGTTGTTAATACCGACGGTCATTACAGGCTTCAAGTGGTAGGTATCAGGATTTTTGATGAAATAATGAATATTTCTTCTGAAGCAATTCTTGATACTGGAGCCAATCTTAGCTATTTTCCTTCAAAAATTATAAAATTCATGATGGCAAAGTTACAAAATCGACTTGGGATTGAGGCCGAAAGTCTCCGTGGTGTTAGCAATTATTGCTATGAAAAAGAGCTTATGGATGATATTGAAGACTTCAATTTTACACTTATTTACACGGAAGGAGTAGAACAAGTTGTTATCAAGTATGTTTTTTTCATACCACTATGGGGTCCTGACAACAAGAACTTCTGCTGCGCCATTGTAGAAATAGAAGAATATGATGAGATACATATTGGTTCGATCATGCAGCAAAATTATAATTTTGTAAAAAATAGAGCTCTCATCAATCCTACAGAATGTAACTTATTATAGTACGTGCGTTTGTTTTCATCACAACTTTTATATTGTAACAAGATAATTAAATAAACTAGTTACCAATTTCATTGATCTAGTATATATGCATGTTTCATTTCAAATATTGAGCTAGTTACATATTTCATGTTATTTCTGTGCATTATATAATTGTAAGAAACCTGTAAACTCACTGGATTGAGACAATCTACTAAAATCAATTCCCAGAGATCTGCAAGCACTTTCATTCGTATTTAACAGAGATTAAAAAACTAAAAAAATACAGAAATTGAAGTTTCTGTGAATCAGTTTCTGAACACTAACCGGATTGAATCAGGTTCTCTAAAATTGCAGTAATACTCTGAATTCGAAGTTTCTTTGAAATGCAGTTTGAAGCAGCTCCTGTATTGAGCTCTTCTCCCGTTTGCTGAACTTCTCTGAGATTGCAGGCTTAAACAAATGTCATTCTTCGCCGTTCGAATGAAGGTTAATTGAGCTTCTCTGGCTGTTCGAATGAAGGTTGTTTGATATTGTGCTTTTTTTTAGGAAGAGATTGAGAGTGGGAACTTCCCACTTCTCAGGTATGAAGAGTTATAGTATCACACAAATGTGAAAGTTAAGAGAAAACAAAATTAGAGATGGGCATGTGTCTACATGGTAGTTGGCTTCGGACTTTATTAGTCGGCAAGTGAGTGGTTTCTCTCCAAATTATCTCTAATTCCTATTTATCCTCTTTGCCACTTTTTTTTCTATTTCTATCTAAAGAAAGTTTAAATTAAAAATTTAAAAATTATTTACATGTTTTAACAAATAATATAATAACTTTAAAAATATTTATTAAAACTACAAATAATAATTATAATAGATTTAAAAATATTCATATTATTAATAGTTCTATATTTCTACTAAATTCATCAGGAAATTATGTACTAACAATATAAATTAAGACTTTCTAGATTATTCAAATTAAATGTTATCCAAATAATAGAAATTTAACATTAAAAAATAAAATATCATTTCAATAACAAAATATCTTAAATAATAAAATACTAAAAATAGATAAATAGTTACAAAAAATTTAATTATTTAAATATTTCAATAACAAAATATATTAAATTCAAATAATGAGTATTTTTAAATATTTTATATATTATTTAAATATTTAAATAACAAAATATTTAACATAACTATATTTTAAATAGCCAAAATAACGAAATTATGCAATAAAATAAAAAATCATAACATAATATTCAAATTAATAATAAATTTAATATTTTTACAAAATTAATAATAAAATTATGTAATAATAGTATAAAATTTAAAGTAATTATTAAAAGCACAAAAAATAATTATAATAGATTTAATCATATTCATATTATTAATAGTTTTATATTTTTACAAATTTCATCACTAAATTATGTACTAACAATATAAATTATGATTTTCCAGATTATTCAAATTAAATGTTATTCAAATAATAGAAATTAAAAATAAAATATTATTTCAATATTTCAATAACTAAATATCTTAAATAGTAAAATAATAAAAATATCTAAATAATTACATAGAAAAATGTTTCATTATTTAAATGTTTAAATAATATATAAAATATTTAAATATACTCATTATTTGAATTTAAGATATTTAGTTATTGAAATATTTAAATAATTAAATATTTTTCTAATTAATTATTTAGCTATTTTCAGTATTTTATTATTAAAGATATTTTATAGATTGTTAAATTCAATTAGTAATTGAAATTATAAAATTTACATAAGGATATTATTTAATTAACTAAATAATATTTTAAATAACCAATCTCACTTATATCAATTAATAATTCTAGAAAAATAACATTCAAAAAAATAATATTCATTAATACTGATTTTATTATATATTTAATATACTAAAATTAATATTTATTGTATTTTCAGGAATTATTTATAGTTTTTCTATAAATATATTTTCAATAATTATGTACAAATCTATATTTGTTTTTTATTTAACAGAAAATTTTTAATAATTATTGGATATTAAACTATTGTTATTTAACTTTTTAAATTTAATTTATTATGCTTATTGTATTTTTGAGATTACAACATTTATTGACTAGCTTAATATACTTTTTAGTATTTTTGTAATTATTGTAATTATTTTATTTTTCATTGTCAATATATTTTCCATTATTGTGCATTTTTGCTATAAATTTTTAATAATTATTGGAGATTAAACTACTTTTATTTATTAGAGATTAAAATATTAATTTAGATGAAATTAGAAGTGTTGATCACAGCCTGGTTTAGTTCGGTTGTAGGCTATTTGGCCAACCAAATCGACATGATTAGGTTGGGGAGTTGGTTACCAGAAATCTACCAACCATTAGTGAAAGCTAACTAAATCAGGTTGTATTGGACCGATACGGTGGCGTATTGGCCCATCATGGGCGGATGGGCCCGACTTAATGGGACTTTTGTATTTAGTGGCCTAACATGGGCCTCACTCATTTGTAAGATTGACTACCGTTGGTTCTGTAGAATGGGTTTAAATTATGGGGCTCTTTGATTTTGTTGATATTAGGCCTTGATAGGCCTATTCGCTATTTAAATTGTTGTACTTTGTTGTGGTCGAAGCTATCATGCCATTTAAAATTTTAACTTGGGCCTCATTGGTTGTAGGTGCAATTAGGGGTGGATTTGAGTTTAGCCAAGATGAATATTTAGTTATTCGAGTTTGGTTTATCAAAAAGTTTTGAGGTTTGAATTCGATTTGAGTTAGAGAGTTGAACTCAAGTTAGGTATGAATTAAAAGTCCATACATTTAAGCTTGATTGTGAACCAAGTTTCCCATAAAAATAATTATACATATAAAAAATAAAATTATACATATAAAAATTATTTTTATTTTAAATGCATAAAATTAGGAATTATAAAACATTAGCCTCACGAGCCAAGCTCCATTGGGTTTGGATTCATCTCAATTAGCAAAAGAACCTATATATTGGGTTCAAACTCAACTTAAACCCAATTTAAACCAAGCAGAATCAATATTTTCATGAGTCAAACTCGAATAGCTCATGAAAAACTCAATTCATAGCAAACCTAGATGCAATTGGATAGATAAGGCTAACTACATTTATGTGTGTGAGCCTTTTGATGAGAAGGCCCTTTGTTTTTTTTGTGTACCTTACTAACTTGCTCTTTTTGTGGGTTATTTGCATTTGGATTACTAACCTTTTGATGAGCAATGTCCACACCCACCAAAACCTCCACATTTACTAACATTTACTCTTTATTAAAATTAAAACAATTCTAGATTCTTACATGGAAGTCAAGTAGTGTTATGAGAAAATTAATTGAAGGATTCAGAGGAAGAACAAAACATCCAACATGAAATCTGTTGGAAGGATTTAGATCCATTTTATGGATGACCAAAACATGTTAGACGATTAAGCAAAATCTCAAAAATTTCTTAATCCTTTTATGAATCGAATTCTCAATATTTTGAAAAACTACATTTTTCCTAATTGACTTTACATTGAACCAAACCAGATTTGAAATTAAATAAAGAAGGAAATGTATACTTGATACAGATACCATAAACGTAGATCCCAAGGTGAAAGTTCACACCCAAACTAGTCCTAATACCAGCCTCGACTGAAGATGACGCATTGTATAAGTGAAGATGATTCAACAACACAGTTTTCAGCAAAACTGCAACCCAACTACTTGGATAGAACTGGGGAAGGTGAGCTTGAAATTCCTCTAAATTTTTCTTGAAAAAATCAGAAGGAAACTGATCTCTATGAGTCCTTGAAAGTCTAGGTCATGATAGGGTTTCTTGGAAGACAAAAGAGAAGAAAAGAGAACAAGAAAGAGTGGTGTTCTTGTCTGGTTCGCCCTTTTCTTCTTTTATCTCCTTATGGAGTACTCTTCTAATCAAATTAGGAGACTATCCAAATCTAATTTGGATATACATTCTATTAAGAGATGATCCTTATGGGTGCTCCATACCCATTTCCAAACCCAGATTCAACCCAAAGCACATGACAACTTAATCTTATTAATTATGTAACGGCTTACTTAATCTTATTAATTATGGGTCTTATGCCCATTTACCTCAAAGGCTTACAATTCAAGATGTTGCATGGCCACTTTAGGCCTAATATTGTATGGCATGGACCCCACAATGACCTTACATAAGTCCACATGAGTTTGGCCTATCTTTTGTGAAAAGGCTTAGCCGAATTTATTACTCAATGCAGTGAACCCCTAAGCACATTACTATAGACTCAATATGGGCCCAACATTTACACTTGAATGATCATTGAATTCAACTGTCCTATAAAGACCCAAAGATAATTGACTTAAGTAAGATAAAGCCCATCAGATAATCAACCTTGTAATGGTCTCTTACACTTAACATTTTGACCCATAATGATAAAACACTACCCGATAGGGAAGGACCTCTCCCCTAACTGCAAGGTGCGGTATTACATTCTTTACTCAAATGGATCCTGAGAATTAAAACCTTTTTTGCAAATATTTTTCATAAAACATTATATATATATATATATATATATCATAAATATATTTTATAAAATCGGATTTCAAACACAATTGAAATTCACTATCGACAATTTAAGTTTCAATCAAAGAGAGTGTAAAACCCTATCATTCAATTTGTACGACAAATGGGCTGATCTTATCATGATGATCACCCACTCAGGTAAATTCTCTCTACTTGAATGGATCCCGAGAATTAAAACTTTTTTGCAAACATTTTTCATAAAACATTAATATATATATATATATATTAGAAAATCGGATTTCAAACACAGTTGAAATTCACTACCCCACTCAAGTAAATTCTCTCTACTTGGATGGATCCTGGGAATTAAAACATTTTTGCAAACATTTTTCATAAAACATTAATATATATAAATATACAATTTAGGTTTCCATCAGAGAGAGTGTAAAACCTTATCATTCACTTTTTCTGACATAAAGGTTGATCCTATCACT